TGGTCTAGAGAGTGATGTAAAAAAATGTCAAGTCAATGTGTACATTTAAGAAAAAGATCAAATCTAGATTGTTAAAAAAGTATATATGAAGTAGCTTAGTGTGTGTTTCGTATTAGAATTAGAAAAATTAGAAAGTTATTCATTTTGTTCTGTTACTTGAAAATTATTATGTCTGAAATAATTGTTTGAAAAAGGGGCAGATAAAATAAGATTTTTTCTTCTTTCTGCTGCCTTTCATTTTAATTTTTTTTGTATCTTTTTATATATTGTTATGGAATTGTTTTGTACTTTTTTAAAATGAATAAACTTCATACCATATTTTGTTGTACTACATATAATACATATCGTAATGCAAATGGTATTTGGTTGTTCTCAACGTATATTATTTGGTTGTACTACATATAATACATATCGTAATACATATGGTATTTGGTTTTTCTCAGTGTATCATATTTTGTTGTACTACATGTAATACATATCGTAATGCATATGGTATTTGGTTGTTCTCAGTGTATCATATTTTGTTGTACTACATATAATACATATCGTAATACAAATGGTATTTGGTTGTTCTCAGTGTATCATATTTTGTTGTACTACATATAATACATATCGTAATACAAATGGTATTTGGTTGTTCTCAGTGTATCATATTTTGTTATACTACATATAATACATATCGTAATACAAATGGTATTTGGTTGTTCTCAACGTATATTATTTTGTTGTACTACATATAATACATATCATAATACATATGGTATTTGGTTGTTCTCAACGTATCATATTTTGTTATACTACATATAATACATATCATAATACATATCGCATTTAATTGTTCTCAATGTATCATAACAAATGAGGTATCATTTTTGAGGTAATATCAAATGAAGTCTGCAGTCTAAGCTGTTCTCTGTAAATTTCCTAAAAAAAAAAGTCTTGCACTGATGACGGATGTCCTGACTGAACTAAAGAACTTGTCAGAGTTTCTTCAGAACATGAAGGCCACACTCCCAAAAGCCCATGAGATCATGACAATGTATGTCAAACCATTGAAAGCCTCTGTTCATACCCAGGACAACATGTAGTTGAAGCTAGCCAGGCAGAGGAAGAGGTGAATGCAATTTAAAGGAGTACAGTTCAGAGTTGGCAGGTCTCCCATCATTGACTCTGCACAGTTTGTTCAAGCATTGGCAGAGTTTGAAAGACAGAGTCTTTACACCTGCAGCTAATAAAGTACAGGTCAGTGTCACAGCCAACAGAAAAGAGACTTAGAGCAGACTTCTAAATCAAATGGCAGTCCTTAACCTGACAAGTGAGACAATGATAATCCCCCACATGGAGAATATGAGGGAAGGTCTTTTTGCCATCTCCTACATCTAAATGCACATGAGACCCACCTTTGATTCATTGAGTATAAGGCAAGTAGAGGAAGAAGCATTCCTAACAAGAAGAAGAAATTGCTTGTGGCAGTGGATACATTGTCAGCAAGTAATGTAGACTGTGAGTGTGGATTCAGTACCATGAACAATATCATCACTGAGAACAGGAGCAAACTGACTACCAAGAATGCTGCAAACCTCCTCTTTGTCAGCTCAGTTGGACCACCATGCATGCAATGAGACCCAATGCCGTATGTGAAGACCTGGCTGGGCAAAGGAAGAAAAGCAGCTCATGCAACAAGTGGCATGTCATGCCAACACTCTGAAGAGGACAACCACTTTAGGCCTGTGTGGAAAATATTTTAGGTGTTATGTTTTGAAGAGGCAACACACACTTTTCTTAGAAGTGCAAAAAAACCTAAATATATGATGGTGAACTTGGAGTCATAAAAGTACAAAATACATGAGTGAGTTAAAACAACTCATTTCTTACTCAACAAGATGATGTAATACATGTAAACAGTATGCTCAGATTCATGTGGTCACTTTGTCCTCTTCAGAAGTCTCTGATAGTTGTGAGATGTTTCTTCTCTCCAACTTTCTAGATGGTGTCCATGTTGTTGAGTTGTGTTTGGAAGCTGCCTCCTCATTGTTTTAAGCTTACTTTGAGCTCGGTGTGTAATTATAGTCATTTGCGTTGAGTGTCAGCATTAACGCTGCACAGTGTCGGCTGCTAATAACACGCTTTGATGAGGCTGAGCGCCGCTGCTGCTGCTGCCGTGAAGGACTTTGAATGGTCTCCCACGCAGATGTTTGCCTGTTGGTGTGTTGGAGAAGAAGTTTAGGCAGAACAAGCACTTTTCGAAACGTCAACGGAAACCTCAGTAAACAGGGCAGGTTCAGACACACATTACCTCACTCACTCCGAGGTTTGTCTCGTTTTAAAGAAGTGGTTGAATTCATTTTTCAGCACTGATATTATCACGTGCGCACGCACACACACACACACACGCTTGTGTCTCCTGAACTATTCCTGTCATCGCACTCAGATTTCAATTATACTTTAAAAGTTGGTTAATGAGCTGCAATTTGCAGGAATCGTTTTCTATCTACTGTGTTTGCATAAGAATGTGCGTGTGTGTGCGTGCGTTCGTGTGTGCGTGTTCATAAAACATGTGTAGCTCACCTCCCCTTTGACAACCCTTCCAGGCTCATTAAAATTGTTTTCCACGTTGTGAAGCAATTTTCTTTTTCAGTGATCATGTTTTTGTGTGTGTGTTTGTGTGTGTGTGTGTGCGTGCGTGCGGGTGTGTGTGTGTGTGTGTGTGAGACAGATAGGAGGGGATAAGGGAGATTGTGGAGTAATAGACAATGAGAGATGAATGGTTTTTGTGTACTCTACTCCATCTTGTTCATTTTAACTTAGCCAGTTTTTTTTATTGTTGTTGTTTTATTTTTTTATGTCGTTCGTGCAGCTTATTTATTTCTTGTGATTGGAAACGCAGACATGTGTGACCAAAAAACACATAAAACAAGCTGCTTCAATCTGCAGTGTGAAATGTCTGATTAATCCCTTTGGGTTTTTTTTCGTTGATAATTAAAGTGGTGATTGTGAACACATGCAGGGACCACATTTATGCATGTTCATTTTTAAAGTCTGTTTCTCTACGTAAACTGTTCATGGACTCACTGATGAACACACAGCCGGGCCTGGCCAGCTGGGTCTGGATGTTAGTGTTCAGTGGAGCTGTGTGCGTTCAGTCAGATGGACTGCATCGCCCCGGTGCTCCATATGGGACCCTCCTGTCTGCGCTGCACAGCACGGCTGCAGCCGCTGCAGGCGATGACAGGGTGGGGGTTATGGGGGCATCAAAACTATCTCTTGGTTGGTTTGGAGTTTATTTAGCATAAATCCAAATTTAGAAAGCTAGACATCTAGAGTTGTTGCTTTGTATAATTCATTCCTACAGACTGAAAACAAGGATTTCATTGAAAAATTATTTTTTTTTAGGTTTGTCTATTTATTATTGTTGTTGTGCATATTAGTTTCTCCCTGTGCTTTTAAAAGTCAGAAACTTCACATGAAAATAGTTACTGAGCAAAAAACATTTAAACTACCTTTATTTTTTTTGTCCCAAGCAGTCAGACTGGTGTAATATATAAAAGTAATTTTGTAGTTGATCATCTTTCTGGAGGGCGACACAGTGGATCAGTTGGTAGAGCTGCTGCCTCTCAGCGAGACGGTCGCCCGTATGAATCCCGGTCCGGAGGCCTTTCTGGGTGGAGTTTGCATGTTCTCTCCATGCATGGGTGGGTTTTCTCCAGGTACTCCAGTTTCCTCCCACAGACCAAAAACATGCATGTTAGTCTGATTGGTAACTCTAAATTGTCTCTAGGTGTGAGAGATCGTTTGTCTCTATGTGTCCCTGAGATGGACTGGAGACCTGTCCAGGGTGTCCCCTGCCTCTCACATGTGAGCCCCAGTGGCACAGGTGACCTAAAAAGGAAGAAGTGGGTAAAAGAGGATGGATGGATGGATGGATTGATGGATGGATGGATTGATGGATGGATGGATGGATCGATTGATTGATGGATTGATGCATTGATGGATGGATGGATGGATGGATGGATGGATGGATGGATGGATGG